CCTGTTATATTTTAGATAACAAGGAGCAGACGGCCGAGTTTATTAAACTCCACCGACACAGCGGTTACGCAAATCTGAAGGCTAGACCGTCCCATTTCACAGCCTCGCACTTCTGGCCTTCTCGGTCTACGTGGGCCGGATCCTCCGAAGGATGCAGCCGACGTCCAGCGACAGCACGCTTCTTTTTCTTTTTTTAATTAAATATCAAACTTTATTAAGAAACAGTATACAGAACATGTATACAACCAGAACAAAATTAACATATGCCAGGGGGTGTAATACAAAGAATTACAAATAAATAAATAATTTGTAATTACTACAAATAGTACTAGTTTTCATAGCCTTTTTGTTAAGTGATCCACTAATAAATTTTATGTAACATAAAACATCATTATAGTAATGTTTAAAATTAGGCTTTTTGTTACTGTATTTGCATTTGTGAAAATAAAATTTAGCTAAGATAACTAACAAGTTTATTATAAAGTAGCACCAGTTTCTAGTGCAGGGTTTAGGCCCTTTGGTATGATCCCTATGTTTAATATGGTCACAACTAAATTTAGAAGGAAGGATTCAGATATTAGTCTAGGTGAATGGAAAAGTAATTTGCAGACAACATTTGCTTTGCAAGGAGCTCCTGTAGATTTTAGAGCAGAATTAACACTCTGTTGCTTAGAAGGCAAGGCTAAAAGAGAGATTTTAATTCTACCACCAGAGAAGCGTAATTCACCTGAGCTAATTTTTAGTGAGTTAGATAAGTTGTATGGGGATAAAACAACTGCTTCGGTCCTGCGCTCTCAGTTCTTCAATGCTCGTCAAGAAACACATGAAGACATCAGTTCATTTGCACTGAGATTTCAAGAACATTTTCTCAGGTTAAAGAGGAAGGACCCTAGAGGTATGAATGACGAAGATATTCTTCTCAGAGATCATCTGGTTGAAGGCTTGAGAGACACTGTCCTTAGAGGTGAATTTAGAACAAAAATTCTAATGAATGATCAGTTGACATTTGCAGAAATTAAAGCAGAACTAATCCTGAGGGAACATGTTTATGGTGAAATGGTTGATCCAGTCCAGTGTTTTGCTGCCAAAGGGGAAAGATACAAGACCTGTAATGCTAAGGATATGGAACAGATTAAATCAGAGTTGTGGGAAGACATGAACAAGCAAATGACCACACAATTCAATGATTTATCACAGACTTTGATCAAAGAAAAAACAATATCCCTGATTAAAAGAAGATATTTCTGGCCCAAATTAAATGCTGATGTTATAAATTGGTGTTCCCAATGTCAGGCCTGTGTCCTGCGTAAAGCGGCTGCTGCGAAACATGCTCCTTTGATTCCCATTAAGACATCTGCACCCATGGAACTGTTGTCTGTAGACTTTTTGTCTATAAGTGGTCCAGAAGATCTGTATCATATTGTTTTGGTCATGGTGGATCATTTCAGTAAATTTGCTTGGGCTGCAGTTACAAAAGACCAGACTGCAGTGACAACAGCTAAAGCACTTTGGAGCAAGGTAATTCAGCCCTTCGGTGCACCGAGACGACTGCTGTCAGATCAAGGTCCTAACTTTGAATCGCAACTAGTGCAGGAGCTGTGTGAATTGTA